CATTGTTTCTTTTACCTCCATGTTTTTCTTACAAGTACACAAAATATTCCTTCATGTGATTTTATATGAAAGATTGTTAATTGAATAATAATAATAAATTATGATGATATATTAGGTATTATATTTTTTATTACATAATATATATATATATATATATATATATATATATATATATATATTATGTATTTTTTTTTCTTATTAAAAGGAATAGAATTTAAAAAAAAATGCTGTTTTATTCCTTAGAAGTCTTTCTCCCATGCCGTGGGACGTAGATGGATAGCGTAAAGGTCATAAGTGTATGGTTGTACCTATCTTTACCACACCACATGTCTTCTGACTTTCCATTTCATTTGGAGGTACTATAATACTTGTTTTTGGTCTAAATCTAAAGAGTAATTAATAATAAACTATACATTATAATGTGCCATAAAAACACACAAATGTACACAGAAAATCGTTACCTAAAAAGGACTACGACATCCTGCCCTTAAATAAATTATTTTGTTTTCTATATATTAAGAGTGCCTTTAAATAAACCTAAAAACTACTTTTTTTAATGATATAGCTTTTAAGATGTTTTTCTAGATTAATTTTCTTCAGCTAACACTAAAAAAATTCACGTGACTTTATTGAAATTACCTTTTTAAAATACAATCTCGACAAGTTAACCAATAATATTTCTAACTACGATAATGCTAAACTTTGGTGGAAACAAAATTTGATGAAAACGACACTTTTTTTTTTGTTTTTGTTTCATTAATATTATAGCGTAACAATTTTGTATTTTAAATTTATTTTCAAACTATGGTTCGTCATTTTTTTTTTTCTTTTTCTACCGGTACATTAATTGTATATATCCGTACCAGTGAATACACTTTTCCATTCGGGAAACTTTCTTTTAACAACTTTCCATGATAATATTTTGACAATTATTTAAGTCTCAGTTTTTTAATGCTGTATTTAAAATATTTTTAAAAAAATTATTTAAAATGAACCAATAAATTTTTGACATATAATTATTGTTAAAAAGTTATTAATTTTTAGTTGTTAAAATATCATCATCCATTCCATTATGATATAAATGCCTCAATAATAATTATTGGCAATGGCATTATTTGAAACTCCAAACCCATACATTTTTCATCAACAATGTGAAAGCAATTGATTTGCCACCATCATTAATATGAAACAGGAGTTGGCACTTCTGCATCTTATCTTATACAAACAACAATGCTGCTGCTATATATTCATCATATGGTTTGGTTTGGCTTAGCATCCAAAAACAACATTTTCTCAAGTCTTACAATTTCATTCTCTTTTTCATACACAGAAACTGTAGCTCAATGGATCAATTATATGAAGAGGTTGAAGAACCAGTGAGTCCGGCAGGTCAATATTTCAACAGTTCTGTGATATGTTCGTATGTTTTTGGCTTTCTTGAAATAGAAATTCCAATTGATGACTCAATGACAATACCTTTGATTAAGGATGTCTTCCTCCCCATCAACCCACGTTTCTCCTCTATCATGGTTCTTTTCTCTTCCATCCTTTACTATATTTTCTTCCTATAATTACATTTTACATTTATTTTGGGAATATAGACTTTGGTTTTTTTAAAGTATCACATGCTAACATGATAGCACAGATATGATCCCTCGCTTTCTTTCTTTTAGAACATAAAGAATGTCAAATAATGATAAAGATACAAAGTAATTCTTTTAAGTTTTTCAAAAATAAAATAAAAAGAAAATAATAATAAAAACTCTCATAAATTAAATATTTTTTTAATTTATGTGAAATTATAATTTATTTATATCCAGAACTTTGATATATATATTTTTTATATATTTTGATTCTTAAATTTTAAAAATAAATAAAATATATAGCTTTTTAAAACTAATGATATCAGTTTTTTTCAATTTTTTAAATTATGTTTCAGGTTATTTGAGTTAAAATTTGTCTAATGATATAAATAAACGTAAATATTATCTTTTAACATGTTAAAAAATTTAATTTAAATTAAAAGAATTATATTTATTCATTTTTTAAATTTAAAAATAAAAAACATAAAATAAAGTAAGAATTTTAATTTTTTATCAAAGTTTAAATACTACAAAAACACAGTTAACTGTTACTAATAGTATGTTGTGATTGATAAGTTGATTGCTTCACAACAGATAAGAGACGAAAATGGTAAAAGGAGATGGAAAAGGGTAGAAGTGAAGCCTGAAGAGCACGTAAAGATTCCGAAATTTCCAGAATCTGAATTGTATGATCAGTATTTTGATGAGTATGTGACAAGGATTCTGACTGAAAGAACACCTCAAAACAAACCACTGTGGGAAATTCATATCATTAAGTATCCAACCAGCAAAGCTGCAGGCACAGTAATCTTCAAGCTGCATCATGCTCTTGGAGATGGCTACTCCCTAATGGGTGCGCTTCTTTCTTGTCTTGAAAGAATCGATGACCCTTCTCTTCCACTAACTTTTCCTTCAAGAACATCATCAACTTCACAAGCTTCAAAGAAAAACGTGATTCAGAAGTTACCTTCTTTTGTCTCTTCCTTTTTTAGCTCCATGTCAGATTTTGGATCAAGCTTAGTGAAGACAAGAATGGTTGTAGATGACAAAACACCAGTAAGATCTGGATATGAAGGAACTGAGTCCATGCCTTTTGTCTTGTCAAGCATATCACTGTCTCTTGATCATATCAAAGCAATCAAAACCAAGCTTGGAGTGGTAAGATTAGATCATTCAAAAGAAGTTCTTACTGGTTTCTTATATGACTAATGAATATGGTGATTGTCTGAAAAAGTTGATTTATTTATTTATTTTTGCATGCATGCAGACGATAAATGATGTGATTACTGGGATGATTTTCTATGGGATTCGATTGTACATGGAAGAGATTGAATACGTGGCTAGAAAAGCAAAATCGACTGCTGTGGTAATGCTGAACACAAGAAATGTTAAAGGGTACCAATCAGTGAAGGAGATGCAAAATTCAAAGGTGAAAGGTTTATGGGGAAACAAAATTTCTTTCCTACAAATACCTATTCCAAAGCTAAGTCAATCCAAAAGCTATAACCCTCTTGAGTTTGTTTGGAATGCCAGAAAACTTATAAAGAAGAAGAGACGTTCTTTCAGTGTTTATCTCATAGGTTTGCTCTTAGATTTGGAGATGAAACTAAAAGGCCCCGAGGTATGTAGCTGTTTAAATTTATAAAAATACTTTAGCCTTCTTTTCACTTCTTTTTAATTCATTTTATTAGTATATATACATTATATATATACATACATACATACATACATACATA